TGGTTTTTTTATAGCCACAACACATTTAACTTCATCATTATATCTATATATAAAGCAATGTCATGTTGATGAAATCACATCATTTTTATGTTTAACCAAGTTCTTTCTAAGAGTAAATAATAGGAAGTCTTTGTCTTAATAATATAGAAAAGCAATGAAGCTCATGTTTCTAATCTCAATCTTGATAAGAAGACATGTTGTCTTTTTTGGTTAGTCTTGGATCACCATTATATTCTTGGATAAAATCAAACTAGCATGATGTGAATTACAAATCCATATTTTGTTATATATTACTTAATGATATGAAATATATAATAAAATAAATTTAAATTTATATAAATATTAGAAAAATAAATTTATTTAATTTAATTTAATTTATTTTTACTTGAGAATATAATAGATCACATCAAAAGCCAAATTTAAATCATTCACTAGAGCAAAACACTAAGCTTGAAAATTTTATTTATTTATTTTTAAGTGTATTTTAGTTAAGATGTAAGATGTATTTGGAAGGGCGATTGAACTATATTTTTAAAATTTTTTTGATACTCTAATATTATAAATAATCTTTTTATATTATTTTAAAAAAAAATTTACCACGATATAAAACCCTCACTCTCTCTTGAAATTAGGGGCGTGGACCGCGGGAACGGGGACCATCATACCCGCTTGAGTCACCGGCCGTGCCTTCATAAATTGTGCTTCCAATAACAAGTGAAAATATGTGCACACTGTTGACTCAAAATTAAGAATCACCTCACCGTTCACAGCCCATCACCAGCCCCGATTTTGAAGCAGGATCAAAGATAACTAAGGGAGATGAATAAGCTAACCTTCATTGTTCCTTTTTTTTTTTCTTCGTCGATGTATAAAAGAGCTACGGACTTGTATCATACAAGCTACTTTTCTTCATCTGTTTACGCAGAAATTCACAACAGGCACATGTAAACTGCTGGTGGGGGGACAATTGAAAGAGAAATCGTTCACAGTTTCCTCTGGCCTGGTAAAGTGGTCCTGTTCACTCATCATTCATTGCTTGATGAGGCATTCCTCGGAGAAAAAAAATACCACGAAGTGAACAGAATACCAAATTCATAAATGAAGGCCAAACACCTGTATCCTTGACAGCAGAAAATTTCCTACAGAATTTATAACGCTTCACACAGTGAAACAACATTATGATTTCAACATTTTGGATGATAATGGTGAGAGAACCTCATCCATGTGTAGTGTCATAGGGACCATTAGACATTACTCCAGATGCAAAGGTAGGACCAGAATCACTACCAACCTGAACCTGAAACATAAAGCATATTCAGAAGTTATTCGTGTGGACATCTTCTCTTGGAGGTCAAAGATCAAAAATTGTATCATGTGTCATTTCATACACAAGCAGGCAGTTCAGTGAGAGCTCTGTTTCCAATGGCGAGTGCCCAGTATAAAATTGACTTCTATGGTTTTTTATGCATAGAGAAGATGGGTTGTTTCTCTCAAATTTCGAGGTTCACCCTGTAATGAGTTCAAGTGCAATCCATCCAGTATTAATTTTGATTAATATCAAATTCAAAATGTCTTCAAAACGGAGCTCAGAAGTAACATTCTAATATCAATTTCATTACAAAAACACAGTAATTTTTATATATAGTCTCTATATGGATCAATCGGCATTTGCTTAGGTTAAGCAGATGGTACTGAGCACCGATGCCTTTCAATGAATACATCGTGACACTGTATAAAACTGGTTTTCAACTATAAGTGATGAGTCATATTTCTGAAGAGCACCAGTTTTTGAACATGGGTTCTCTCTGTCCCCCACCCCCTACCCACTTGAGCTATGGTTTTTTGGTTACTTAGAACTAAGCGATAAAGATTTCACATTCTTTATGGAGAATTTTGTAACTTGTTAACCAACGCAACTTTCTGCTATTAATTCACGATTTTTTTTTTTGTGTTTTACAACAATCACGATTCTGCAAACATATGTGCTAAGGCACCAATTGATACAGCCAACATATTGTTATTGGATCCACATCTGTCAGAAACGGCACACTGAAGTTCAGCATATTAAAAAGACACAAGGATAGTGAGCACACACCTGATGCAAGCCATAAGGATCAGGATATGAACTTCCTCCACATCCCACTTCAGCACTGCCATAGTTTCCACCATATCCAGGACCTAAACACACGGGTCAAAAGGTCAATGTCTAAATTTCACAAAACTTCAAGAATATGTTGCATTTGGCAGACACGATAGTAAGTTACTTGGGTTTGCTGCTGCAGCTGCTGCCCTTGCTCTTTTCTCTGCATTAGCAAACTCACCGCGAAGTTTCTCAATTTCTCGAATCACAAGATTCATATTTTTCTCCAATACCTTTTCTTGCTCAAGATTAAGCGCCCGTGTCTTCTTCTCATATGCAATAGCAGCCCTAATCACACCCAGGAAAAAAAATCAACATTTTCATCACTTTTTAAATTCTAACCTCGAATTGTCCCTTAATTATAAAGCTCCTTTTTTTTGTTTTTTCTTTTTTGTCTTACCTTCCTCTTTGAATCTCTTGCTGTACAGTCTCAATCTCCGCTTCAAGAACACCCACCTGCTGCGTTTCCGTTTTAGCTTTAACAATTTCATTATTCATCCCCTTCAATTGTGCAGTCATATCGTGGCGTTGCGCAGTAAGTTTCTGTACATTCGTTCTCACCTGAACAAGCTCAGCACTCATAGCATCAATAGACCGTAACTCAGCATCCAATTTCAACGATCTTTCATAGACTTCACGAACTTCATTGTCTCTCTCGGCTTTGACATCAGCAGCAAGTGTTGAAAAGTGACGAAGGTCTTGTTGTGATAAAGAGAGTTCTTGTTTTAATGCAAAGTGTGTGGCTGCGAGTCGTTCATTTTCTAAAAGAAGGGATTGGATCTCACGGTGTTGGATTGATATTCGGTCTTCGAGGAGGTGGTGGTGAGGACGGGCATGGAGGCGGTGTGGGTCGGTGGTTGGGTGTGGAAGGAGGGCGGCTCGAGATAAAGGGATCTCTCGGAGTTGGAGATGGTCGCGTCCTGCCATCGTTCCTTCTTTTTTTTTGGTTCCGCGCGACGGGCCTTTTTTTTTTTAATAATTTGCTGGAGTGTTAGATGGAGGTGCGACTGGAAAGATTTCAAGGGCTGAGCATCGAGGGGAGGTTGGTTGCCCGCGGTAGGAAAGTTTCCAGCCAAGTCGAGGGCAGGGGAGCCTCGCAGAAACCCGCGTGACAATTTTAACGGCAAGGGTTAAAATCGGTTAGGTGAAACTGATTTTTTTTTTTAGATTAATATGGATGTCAGGCCATCTTGCGTGCACCATAACTAATTTTACGGGTTCTAAAATTAACGATCATGTAAGCCTCCAGTGACCATCATATAAGCAACCAAGGACTCGAACCTGAGACCACAGAGGGAGCAAACCCCTTAATCCCAAGTCCTTACCATTTGGCCACTACCTAGATGATTGAGTGAAATTGAATTTTTATTTGGCTTCGTGCTGATTTTTACAATTTATGATTTAAGGAAATAGGATAAAATATATGTTTTTAGTTGTATTTTTAAAAATAAATTTAGTTAAAAACTACTTTGAAATAGATTTTTTCATATAAAATAAATAAATAAATAAAATCTTAATATATATAAAATAAATTATTTTAGCTTTTACAACATCATTATTTAAAAAATAATTATATGAAAAATCCAATATAAAAGACATAAATTATTTAGCTAACTAAACAATTTTTTCTATGTAATTTTATAAAAATAAAAGCTATCATAATATCATACCATACGATCTCTTACTAGCCTTACGGTTTGCTAAATGAACAGAGTCCTAAATCCCAAGGTCCATTATGTTGCAGGGAATGCTAGTTAAAAGGTTATTTTTATTAAACATGGTCTAATGAGTTAATTAGCAAATCTTTTAACTTTACTCTTACTTAACATAAATTTAAAATAAAACATTGTAAAAGTTATCCTGAATTAATTCAATAAATTTTATTATCCACTAATATCTTAACCAATTACTAAAAAGATTTAAGTAGAGCCTAGCTCAAGTTTAACATTAAACTATATAAGAATTATTTTGATTAAAACAATTTGATCAATCAATACTAAAAGTCAATTTGACCAATAAATACTAAAAGTGAAAACAAAAAATAATAAAATTATCAAAAAAATAAAACTTATTAACTTAATTTCTTACTTCATTTAGGTTAAAAATTAAACAGTGTATAAATTTTATACAATTGATAAAAATAATCATCATAAATATTAAAAAATATATAAAATTGAAAAAAAATATAAAACAATATGGGGAAATAAAAACAAAAAAAATGAAGGGCTGGAATAAAAAAAAAAAGAAGCTCCTCTTCTCCATGATGACTTTTAATTCTTTTAATATTAGAAGTAAGGTAATCAAGTCTTGGTGTTTTTTGTTTCTTTAAAAAAAAAAAGATACTTGGCACAATAATGTATGTTTTTATAAACCAATTAAGTTGGATATATTAAAAAGAAGTTCCATGGGAGATTTTTAAATGATAATTGAAGTGCAAGACTAAATTTTCATGCTAAACCAGTAGATTGCGTTATTTACTATGCTGTTAAATAATTAGATTGTTAATCAAACACTATACACTACAAATAATTGTTTTTAATATAAAATCTATGTGGTGTTATCCGACTAAATTAATTTTTTTTTAATTTGCTAGTAAATAAAGTTAATTTTAAGCTCATCGAGAATAGTTTATTAAATTTATTCTCAATCAATTTACAAATAAAAATAATCAAGTCCCTTTTTTCATTTAAAATCAATCGGTTTTTATTTATTTTTCAAAAACCATCTAAAAGAAATAATTTATCAAAACAGAAGAAAAAGAAAAACAAAACAAAAAATTCACATATGTGGATGTGGTCACTATTGGACCGGGTCTATAGAAATCTTTAAAACCAAAGGAAAACCCAAGCCCAGACTCACCCTCATAACCTCCCTCCCTCCCGCCCGCGGCAATTTCCCTCCCAAAATGGTACGAGACACAGGAACTCCTCACCAGATCTCCCTCTTCCGCTCTCAAATCACAACCAGAAGGTTCCAATTTTTCGCCCTCACTTATCTTCTAATGAGAATAATCACTCGCTCACACAATCTCTTCTCTCTTTCTTTCTCTTGCAGATTCAACGACGAATCACTGCGAATTCTCGAATCACTTCTGGTCTTCAAAGACGTGAAGTCGCAGATCGAGACTCGATCGGACTTGAAACAGTTCTTGAGATTCGAATCTCTCTCTATTTTCCACGAAATCAAATATAAAACAGTTTATCAGAAGCTTTTCATTCTCCAATTCTTCGTTCGCGCTTTCGCTCTCATAGGCGACACCGAGGCAGCCCCAAAATCTTCTCCTTCAATCAATTAAATTTAAACTAGCAATCTGTGCCTTCTCATTGTGTCTTCTATATGTGCAGAGTTGTTTGGCGCTGAAATACGAGGCATTGCTTTATCGTGATGTCAAGTCTAGCGGTGACCAATCACTACATGTTTCGTATTTGGAATGGCTAAATTTTGCTCACCATTCGCTCGATCAGGGCTTCTATTCTATTGCTACACAGGTTAAGTTTTTCATCATCATCATCATCATCTCTAGTCCAAGCCTTCACTTTCATTGTTTTTTGCTCATGTAGGCAAGTGAAAAAGCCCTAGCATGCTTTCAAAAGAAGGACGTCGCAGATGCCAAAACAGGCGACTTCTTCGAAAATGCGCGGGTTATTGATGATATAAAGAGGCTTAAGGAACGTGCCATGAGGTCTGCAGCTTCAGGCTCTGGTATATTTTTAATCCTTTAACATGCATGTACAGTATCTGATCAGTTAATGCAAACTTCGGTGATATATCGTGTGCTGTGTTGTACGACTTATATTTTAGCTTTCACGATGGATATTAATTATATAATCTCAAATGGCTATACTTTATTGATAAAGAAAACAGAGTTGGGGTATAAATTTGTGCACGAAATTATGTAAACAAGAAAGCAAAGCATGGAGTGATCTGTTGGACACTTTAATCGTTGTTATATGGAAGAACACATCGGCCCTTTTCGTTAGTCAAAATAAATGTTCAAAATTCTTGAGCTGCAGTGAAATGAAAATCAAGCTTGTAGAGGTCATGGATGTAATAGATTGATAAAATTTATTTTGGCGCCGCTGATGAGATTGCAAGCTCTCACTTCAAAAGCTAATTCGTGTGAAAAGAGACCTTCATTTATGTTTTGCCAGTTTTTTATGCACATATTGGTGAAACTTTATGATAATTTGTGCTGCGCCACAGAGTTTAAGCATGACTTAGGAAGATAGGCTGCAACCATCTGAAGGAGTTTTTCCAAGATGTCTTTGTTGGCTTTAACTTAGCTTTTTATAGGAGTATCGAGAGCAACTCTTTATGTTGCTTTTCTAGGCAGTGGCAAGGTTATATATCGTTATATCCTTGTTTAAGGGTTTTTCATGGAGTTTCATCATTCAGTGAATGAAGGGTACTTAACATAAGCTACGAGATTGCTTTAAGATAGATAATAAGTAGGGCATGGCATGCAGCATTTCTTTTTGTGTTTTTAAGTTCAAAAGGCAAGGAGATAAGTGATCAAAGCAGTTTTTTAGTATATTCTGCTAATTCGGCGTCTCATATTCTCAATTTAGCAGAATTCGCGCCTGTGGGCCATTCAGATGGATTGGAAATTTTAAGACTAAAAGATCTACATTAGCAATTGCCACTCAAGGCTGCACATGATGTTTCTAGGTTATATATGGTTCTTTTACTTTTCATGTACCTAAAATCTCATATTCTACATGGGGTTAGCCACTACTTTATTTACCTGATGTTTGCTTTAATCCATAAATCTTTCTAATACTTGTTTTAGTCGTGAGGAAATATTGAGGAACTATATATCTTCCATTCTGTAAATAGAAGCTAATTGTATATGATAACCTCATCATCTTTGGCATATAGACTAATTAATGTCGGACCTCAGAACTAGATACGTTGGATTTAGTGCAACTATTTTGTTGAATGTTTATGTGTTTCTCGTTTCTCCAAGTGACTAAGGATTGGTAAATAAGATTCATGTTGAATGTGTGCTTCTTGATCACATGGTTAAGGAACTCATAACGAAGATGATATAATTCCCGGAAAGCCAAGAAATCAAGTTTGGTAGGATTGTGACACAATAAAAACCTGTTCAAAGACACCAATACTATTGGAATAAGAAATATTCACTCAATAAATACCAATTTGCGAATGAGAAATACAAAAAAGACATCACAAGGTCAAGATAAGTCAATTTGTTTTTTGTTCCAGCAAAGAAAATATGTCGCATCATGCAAAACACAAGTTTATTTTATAATTCATGGCTGCTGAAAATCTTAGCTTATAAAATCTTATATAATATTTTCACTAGTAACTTTAATGGACCCAAAACTTGTGGGCTAATATTTAACCACTTACAATAAATTCAAAGTATGTTAACTAAGTCCAAACATGAATAAAATAATAAAAATAACGAATCTAACATATAACTAAAGCTGTTGCACCTAGTTAAACAAAATAACCTAAGATAGATAATCTTCCTAGTTTAAATAATATCATGAACGAAATTCTCATGCTAGAAACACTAGGGTTTTTGTTGCACCTTTAGATATCCAAAATAAGCTAGAAAAATGATTGCTGAAGTTGCCTCCCTTTTAGTTTCTTTGCTTATCTAAGATAATTAATTATAACCTTAAAGCATCCTTTTAAAACATGAAAATTCTTGTTGTCTTCTTTTAACCTTCATTTTAGGTTTAGGAAACTCCCCAAAATAAACTAACTAATCTGTCATCAAATACCACAACCTTTTTTTTCCTTGTACAGCTAAGATGAATAATTAATCACTGCGAAAATATTTTTTTGGAATATTAATGAATCGTTGGCATACTTGGAAATTATGTTGTAGCCCATTGAAGATCTTTGTAGAACTAGGAAGTTCTCAAAATAAGCTGCCACATCTTTGTGGAAAAAAGATTTTTGCTAAATAGAATGTCCATAAGTCAAAAGAAAGTAAATAACAAAATCTGTATTATTTGCTCTGACATATATTAAAAGGCCTTCCTGAACTCTGATTCACTTGAAATTGTACTTAATATTAAAAAATACTTATGGAATATTTTGGTAAAGTTTTAGCTCGATCCAACGGTTTGATTTGGAGTCATGCTCAATAGCGTAAAATTGAATGGTAGAAAATTTTACATCCAATCTGAAGTTGACTTTATTTGGATCGAATCAGGGTTAGCCATTGCTTTATTTACCTAATGTTTGCTTTCATCCATATATAGTCGTGAGGAAATATTGAAGAACTGTATATCTTCCATTCTGTAAATAGAAGCTAATTGTACATGATAACCTCATCATCTTTGGCATTTAGACTAATTAATGTTGGACCTCAGAGCTAGCCACTTTGGATTTAGTGCAACTATTTTGTTGAATGTATAAGCGTGGTTCTCGTTTCTCCAAGTGACTAAGGATTGGTAAATAAGATTCATGCTGAACTCTTGCAAACATTCCTTTTCATTTGATGGTTGCATATTCTGTTTGCTCATTCCAGTCCAGGCACAGGCGGCAGAGTATTTGAAAAGGAAAGTTGTCGAGAAGAGCAGAACATGTTCTTCATTTCGTACAGAAACAAAGAGTGCTGCTAGCACTCTGTTTAGAAATGGAATCAAGAAGCGGCATGCGCGTGAATTGCGTAAACACCAAAGTTTGCAGCAGAATATTGAATTTTAACTTCGTTGCCAATTTTATTTGCCCTCACCGAATTCATTCACATGACTGGAAAGTCGTATGAAGCCTTCCCTTGTCATTTACAATCACTTACCCCCTCAATTGTAAGGATACTGAAGACAAAGAGAACGCTGTGCTATTCCATTCAATCAAAAGAACATCAAGGTATGGTCTGGTTATCTGATCATTTTGGGTCTTTTCATATGAAATAATATGATGGGTTAGGAGTATTTATTTATTTATTTATTCATGTTCTATAGAGGCTGATACTACTGTGCTGGATCTGAATAAAGGACAGGCTGGTAGGATAGTGGTCTGCATGACATGCTCTGCTGGCTTGGCTTGGATTAGCCATAGCAAGATTGTATGCGCCAACCAATAAAAACAATTAGGGCGGCAAGAGCATTTATGTTCCTGACAATGCATTATCATTGTATTTTACGGTAGAATAACAAGACAATAATGAAAATGAGCTTTCACCAATCATTGAATAATTTTATAGGGCATAACCTGCAAGAAAAATGAATTATCTTTCTACTTGTGCGTCCTTCAATCTATTGGTAGTGTATGTCGTCAGGAAAGGCTACTCTTCTGGCGCCTCTCGAGTATTCTTGTCAGCGTTGCAAAAAGAGATTCATTTATGACCACATGGTATGGGAAGTACTCATCACGTTAGAATATATATTTGAATTCTACATTGAAGATGACCTCTTTAATTTTTGAAGTATTAAACCATAAATGACTACATTTTCAGGGCAAAACGTAGCTCTGCAGTAACAAATTAACATGGCACATGTTCGTGTGCGTGCTCACGTGCTTACCTCTTGTTCAGGCCTATATTTTTCTTAATTTTGCACCGAATTTATAATGCAGACCTTGCCGCTTGAATAGAATTGGTCGCCTTGGCCTTGGAAACCCAACATGGACCCTGTTCAAGCAACTGAATTTCAAGTCCATGTTGCTCAAGTCAAACAACGCCTCTAATCTTCACCTCTTTAGATTTGAAAATAAACCGTATGCAAATTTCAAGAATCGAATCTTCCCTATCACCAGGCACATTAAATGCTTGCATTGGAGCTCGCATGTTTTATTTTTCTCCAAGGGGGGGGAAGATGTCTGTTTTTCCTCTATTTTATTCATGTGTTTAAAAATACCTAAGTAAAACAGAATACAAGGTTCTCACTTTCTGAAGTATGGCTCCTTTTTCTTCTTCCTAGAGCCTAGGGGTTTGAAACATGGAAGTGAAACGCGTTTTTCGATGCAGTTCAATAACACAGGTGGCCCCATGGTTGAGATACGAGTCTAAAATAACAAATATGCTTGGTTAAATAACATATATAAATATAAAGGGGGTGGGGGAAGGTAATTGGGACGCCATGGCAACTAGCTAGGGAACGAGTTGTTTTTCTCGGAAGAGAAGCTTAGGAGCCTGGAATTGGAATCATGTGGTGAGCATTAAATGCAAGAGAAAAGGAATAGGTCTTAGGGTTCGACAACTCTTATGTTTTCCGTTTCAGTGTCTCTGGAATTGGGTTTTTTTTAATGCCTTCGAAGCTCGACCTTAGCTCTATTGCGGATCTCATTTAATGGTTCGCATTAATTACTTGGTGGGTTATCTAGCATCGTCGTATTATTTTATGTAGTAAATTAGGAGTTCAATTGATGTCTGTTTATCATAAGAGACAGTCTTTGGATGATTTGATGGCATAGAATGACGCGCTATAGTCAAAATGAGTTATAAGTGTTTTACCGTGGAACATAACCATAACTAGACATTGTTCAATGACATTCATGTGGAATGCAATGTTTGTAGGGCATTCAAACTATGTCAAACAATAAAGAAGTAAAAAAGAAGTAAAGAATAGCAAATTATATAATTAAAACAGCAAATTAATGACAAATGTGAACCTCTCACGGTTGATTATATACATGTCAACCCCTATTAGGGCTAGATCTTAATCTCGTTTCTATGTGTGGTCAAATTTAACAGTGAAAGAATGAAAATGAGGCTAAAAATATAAACTAATAGCCTGTTTGTTTTAATTTGAATATTTTGTATTCAAAAACAATTTTGAAAAAATTAAAATTTTTTTATTTTTTTTTGTTTCAAATTGATTTTTTTATATTTTAAAATTGTTTTAATTTGTTGATGTCAAAAATAAATTTTAAAAAGTAAAAAAATATATTATTTTAATATATTTTTATATAAAAAACACTTTAAAAAACTAAAAAAAACAACAAAACATATGATAATTTAAAATGTATTAGGCATTACGATTAGTAACTGACTTATAATCTCGTGTTAAAATGATAGATTATTGTAGGGACTTGAAAGGTGTTTGGCTGAGAGATGTGGGTGATTTTTGTTTACGAAACTTATATAAAAAGCATGTATTTTTTATTTTTATAAGGTATAGTTTGTATTTAAAAAAATTATACCTTTAAAAACAAATATCCACACCTGCGAGCTAAGCCAAACACACCTGGTGGTCAAGAGAAAAGTTGTACGGAAATTTATTAGAAGTTCCTCTAGACGATGTCAAGTGCCTCTCCCTCCATCATTGTAGGGTTGTCATCAATCTCTGAACACGATAATCACTTTTGGTGAAATATTTTGGTGTTATTGGGTGGCATTGGAAGGAGAAAATCCACTGAGCTGTTACTCGTCTATATGTTTTTTTTATTGATCACAAACACTAGACATTGGAGTTGGTAGCCTTGTATTCTCACGCTATTTTCTTCGCCTTCTTTAATTTATTCAAGGAAAGGAAAAGGGATGCATTTTGATTTGCAACAGCAGTAGACGGCGGACCGAGAGAGGAGGAGAGAATTTAGAGTGAAATTTCCATGTGAATTTAATTTCGCAAACAAACATTCACGTCGAGCCCATTTTTCTTGGTGTCTTGATCCTGGTTAGCTAGGTAAGCTGGTAAACCCTAAACCAGCTCAACATTTATTAAGGATTCACACTTTCTGAGGTTTAGACTTTCATTTCTATATGACGGAGGTTTAGACATTTGAAACCTAACAGTGTAGTAACATAATCATCATACTATGTATTAAATTCTTTTAAGCACTCACATGATCAGTGTACATACGTACAATTAGAGCATAAAAATATACGAATAGTCAAACAAGAACGTGGATAAGATTGCTGCTACACCAATGCATTGCCAACCCATCACGCGCCTGGCGGTGGTCAACCTCCTTCATTTGATCTTGATACCAATCTCTACACTACCGAATATTGACCTCCATGCTCTGTTCAGCACTATTGACTGATTGTTAAAGCCCAAAACTGTAAAACACAATGTGCATGATAGATTACGCGTTCCTCCAAACTCAGGAATCCTAGCGAGCCCTCTCCATGCATTTAATATATAATTCTTATTATTTGTTTAATTATAGCGTGCATCCAATCTACACTAGGGGTGCCACTTCCTCAACTTACTATAAATACACCTTTTTTGAAGCTCATCTTGTTCCACATTGAGCTCCCGTTTGTATTTCCTTTAATCTCTCTTTGTACCTATCTGCGTCAAGAGGGAATTTTCCTCGAGTTATTTTAAGACAGAAATATGGCGGGTTCATCACCATGTGCATCCTGCAAACTACTAAGGCGCCGGTGCGCCAAAGACTGCATCTTTGCCCCTTACTTCCCTTCTGATGATCCCCATAAGTTTGCCATTGTTCACAAGATTTTTGGTGCAAGTAATGTCAGCAAAATGTTGCAGGTTTTTTCCTCCCTCGATCCCTTATTAACTTATATGATCTATTGACTCTGTCTTGTGTGTGTTACTACGGAAAAGAATGTTGTTATTTGCACTTTTTAACAGTAATGACGATGCTTTAAATGATGAGAATATTATGATCTTGCAGGAGATTCCAATTCATCAAAGAGCAGATGCTGTGGGTAGTATAGTTTATGAAGCGAATGCAAGAATGCGAGACCCCGTCTATGGATGTGTTGGTGCAATATCTTATTTACAAAATCAAGTATCACAGCTACAAATGCAACTTGCAGTAGCTCAAGCAGAGATACTATGCATCCAGATGCAACAAGAGCCTAACTTACCAATCCCGCTAGATCAAGATGACAAGTCACTTCTTTTAGCCAGCTGCAATAACTTCAACAGCATTCCTCAGTATTTTAACTTTGCCTCTTCAAGCAATGTAATCCAAGACCCTCTTAAGAGAGAGTCTCTTTGGACCTAGGCACTCAATCATGCTTGTTGTTAATGAAGTACCTATTGTTTCAAGGTTCTCTCTAGCTAATTAATTTCGTGTTGAATATTAATGGCCTAGCTAGCTTTCTGTTGCTAGCAATGTATTTCTCATGGAAACAAATGCATGATTGCGTATTAACAGTTTGCGTGCGTGTGTCCATGTGAAAGAGAGAGATGAATAAATATTTAGCTCTTGCCTTCTACGAGTAGGCGAGACAAAAAAAAAAAAAAAAATCTTCATGTGGGATATTGAGTTAAGGGGTCAACATTAGGCGCCGGCCTGCATGTGAGATAGGAGCACAGTAGGGTTTACATAGATTCTCTTTTCTTCATTAAGACGTTGCTTATAATGGGGTATGCTGTCCCCTAGCTAGCTAGTTTTCTTTCAGCATATATGATTTCAAAATTGAACCTGTAAATTAACTTTTGGTCATTTCTGTCTAGCACATCATGACGCATCGCTGGCCTGTGCAATTACTCGAAGTCCAAATAAGAACCGCGGACGGAGTACCTTCAATAAATGACAGAGAAAACGTTAATAACATGCATGCAATTATGGTCGTTGTGTTTCGTTTGTAATTAATTAGAGACCTTGGTAGGCAACACCTGGAAAACCATATATATGATGCAACTAGAGGCTACTGGATACAGCATGTGTGAATGTACGAGTTTCTGTCTCTGTGTCTGTGTGTCTATATATATATATATATATATATCTTCCAGTAATGAATTAAGATGTTTTATTCTGTAATTATAATATTAATATATTTTTATTTTTAAATATTTTTTTATAAATTGATAGATTGAAAATTTTCTTGTAAATAATATTATTAATTTTTATTATTTTAAAATTAAAATATGATTGAATCTCACAATTTTTAATTATATGATGAACAATTTATCATGTGATTTAAAATACATATAAATAGTGCTTACTAATTTTTAAATTTTGTAATATACAAATTTTATTACACCTTTCTCTTTAAATGTTATGGTTGTAATCTTGTACTATATTTATCAAATAAAAAGCAATGTTATTGATAGTTTGAATTTACTATATTTAGATGTTGAAAAAAAGGTCAAGTATTATAACATATATTTTTTCAATAGATATGTTTTTCATACCAAAGAGTATGATCATGGTAGAAAGATCTATAATAATAGAGTTTGTATTAAGAGATAAATTTCTAATGAGTTTGAAATTGATTATTATAGAAAGTTAGAAGAGATAATCAAATTATAATATTA